ACAAGCTCCAGTTCCTCTCCCAACAAGAGGAGGAGGACGCTTGTCCACTTGCTTCTGGAGGATGGGCATGTCACTACACTTCCTCCACCACCTTGCCGGCTGCATCAGACGGGCTTGCATCGTTGCATCTTCACAATTGTGTCCCCCGGTGCCCTCGATCCAAGAACAAACCTTTGCGTCGACCTCAACAAACAACGACTCTTTGCACCACGAGTAAAGCCACGTCTAAAACCCATCAGCAACCTCTGCAGCCGTTTTTGGCTGTGACGCTCTGTACTCCGGATCCAAGAACAGCGCAACACAATGCAGCGGTGATGTCATTGCATTTGAGCTCCGCATGATAATCTCCTCGAGTTCCTCCTCTGCTTCGTCAAAGTGCTTGCTCTCCCTTAGTTTCTCCACTGCGCTGTCCATACGGGCATACACCTTACTAATGGCGGGGCCTTTGAGCAGATTCTTGGATGTCTGCATCACCTTCTCGACATCTGCCCAGAAGGTGTCGTCCAAGATGGAATGCATCGCCTTCACAAACAGATTGCGCAGCGAAGTGTGCACGATCGCTGACTTCCAGTCGTCATTTGTCACACACGCACGCAGCTGCAAATACAACCCCTGCAGGCTCAACAACATGATGAAGTTGGTGGCAAATCGGTTCGCACCCGGTTTTGACATGACACTACCATTGGAGTAGTGGATCAGAAGGTCCCGCACCCGCGAATGGTTTGTGAAGAACTTTGCAACCTCCGATGCCCTTTTCATAATTGCACCGACCCACCCGATCTTCGAGAAAGACTCGAACATCAAGTCGAGGGAGTGTGCTGTGCACGAGACAAAGAAGATGTGAAGGTAATCTGCTTCAATCATTCGCCCAGCAGCTGCGCAAACAGCAGCATTGTCCATAATGACCCCACCACCTCCGCGCCTATCTCCTCTATTGCCCTCTTCAAAATGGCATAGTGTGTTGTGGCGCTTGTTGCGTCGTGAAATACACACACTTCTCCAAAAGATGGAGCCTTTAGGGAAGGAGACCATCAAGTTGATGTGTGTGGTCTCTGTCGGCGATCTGTCCAACCATCAAGCTGCAACATGCAGCCAGTGGTTTGCCACTCCTCTCACAACTCCTCCACCCTCTTCTCGACCCTGCCCCTTGTTACTTGAACCCTCTTCGTCCTTGCATTTTCGAACTTCGCGTACCTGAAACCTTTTGGCGCATTCATTAGTGCGTGCACCATTTTGTCCCATTATTCGCTCTTCATCATGTTGAACGCGATCCATTCAGTCGTCATCCAGTCGTCTATCGTGTGCTGTGTTTGCTCGTGTGCCGTTATGACAACAGTGTTGTCCGTGATCGTCGTCAAGCGGAGCTCAACTGCACACCCCGATGGATCCACAACCCCTGCCGCCAACGTCTACGGATTCGTCTGGCGGAGCACTACCTCAAGCCCTGATGGATCCACAACTCTTGCCGACGTCCGCGGAGCATTCTCATCCTCCGATGACTCCTCCTTTTCGGGCTCTCCCATGTTGGCCCCCAACTCGGACCTGGCAACCAACCTACCCTTCTCCCTCCTCAAGTACTCCTCTATTGGTATAGTACCTCTCAGGCGCTCGACGTTGCATCTCGACTCCTTGAGGAAATGTTCCCTTGCCCTGTTGGCTATCCCGGCCACGGGCTTGTCGCAGTAATTGCATACACGCTTGTTGTTCCCCTTGTTGGCTTGCCCACTTCCCTGAAGTGCTTCTTCACGGCCTGCCTATCGCTTTTAGTCATCCTGCAAGCACACAAAGAAAGCGAAAAGAACACTTGTTAAAGCCAATTCACTCCCTGGCCCTCAACGCTCTCCCTCCTCCACTCTCCGTTCACAGAAATCATCCAATCAATCAATCAATCAATCAATCAATCAACCGATCAATCAACCGATCAATCAACCGATCAATCAACCGATCAATCAATCAATCAATCAATAAACCAGTCAATCAATCAATCAATCAATCAATCAATCAATCAATCAATCAATCAATCAAGAGAAGCCTTTGTTGATTGATGGATTGAGTCGATTGATTGATCAGTTGATAGGTTCACTGATTGATTGATTGATTGGTGGATGGTATGATTGACTGATTGTTTGATTGATTGATTGATTGGTTTATCGAACTTTATTCAAGTTAATTCAACTTGATTGATTGATTGATTGAGCGAGCGATAG